GTATCATAGAGAATATAATTACATTATTCTATTGTCATGTTGGTGATACGTATATCATAGAGAATATAATTACATTATTCTATTGTCATGTTGGTGATACGTGTATCATAGAAAATATAATTACATTATTCTATTGTCATGTTGGTGATACGTATATCATAGAGAATATAATTACATTATTCTATTGTCATGTTGGTGATACGTATATCATAGAGAATATAATTACATTATTCTATTGTCATCTTGGTGATACGTATGTCATAGAGAATATAATTACATTATTCTATTGTCATGTTGGTGATACGTGTATCATAGAGAATATAATTACATTATTCTATTGTCATGTTGGTGATACGTATATCATAGAAAATATAATTACAATATTCTATTGTCATGTTGGTGATACGTGTATCATAGAAAATATAATTACATTATTCTATTGCCGTGTTAGTGGTACATGTGTCGTGAGAATCCAGTGGGACTTTCTGAAGTAACTGTAAATACATAATGTGTACATAAAAGTAAACATTCATGAAAGGTATTCACTTGTGTTTCAGCAAGGTTTACTGATACTACTACTGTACATAATCATGTTACACATTTTGTTTTGTGGTGCCTTTTTATGTGTTGATATGAAGTACAAATAAATTTTCTGTTGAATTAAAAAATGTGGGTTTTCTTTACAGTGAAAAATATACAAGGTTCTGCCAGTGGAAGAACTTGGAATTAAATATTCAGGTTAGTGTCATACGCATTCCTTAATTTATTATGTTGTACATTCTGTTATAGTGTTTTTGTCAGTTAAGCTACACGTGTTTTTATTGAATTTCATTATTTCTTGTTGGTCTGGTGATTAGGGCACTCGACTAGTAATCTGCAGTTCGTGGAATTGCAACTTGTTGCTAAGTATAATCATCCTTTCAGTTGTGGGGGCATTATAATGTGATGGTCAATCACACTATTCATTGGTAAAGGGTAGCCTAAGAGTTAGTGATGGGAAGTGTTGACTAGCTGCCTTCTCTAGCATAGATAGCCCTCAAGTAGATTTGTGTAAAATTCAACATATTAAACGAACATTACTTCATGCAAGCAGACTTTTTAATGGCATATAGAATATAATCCTAAAAGTTAGTAAAAAATTTCCCTTTTTAACATCTGCTTCACTGCACTTCTTGCTTTATCAATGTATTTCTCTCTGAACATTTAAATCAACTGAGAATGAGCAGTTCAGGAGTCACGTTCATGTATTATTCCCATTTCTATATACACAAAGCTATGTAGTTATAATTTACTGTAGCATTTTGTCGTTAATGTATATAAGGCAGCATTTCTAAAAATGGAAAGAGGTGGGCAAGGAGTCATGGCCTTTCACCCGTGACCCATCTCGAAAGGGTTAATGCCCTCCCCCAAAATAATTAAGTGATGATGTGTAATACATGTTAAAACATTATATGTGTTTGGTAGTTACTTATTTTTATTAATAAAAATATATATTAAAATGTTTAATTTTGCACTATTTCACTATTGACCTTACTCTAGTCGCCCCCCCCCCCCACCCACACACACACTTTGGGAAACAATGAGTTACCGAATCAAATCCATCAATGTGGAGTGTGTGTTTTAACGTTTCAAAGATAACCAACATGGAGTTTCGTATATAAATCAGATGGTAGTGCTGAAAAAAAAATGGGTAGTTGTAGAACATTTTTAAAGTTTGTGATGAAGTTTGTCAAATAACAACATTACAATTACAAATTAATGAACCAATTAATTGTTTAGTGAGGTTCTGGATTTGGGCTTATTTCAGCTGACAATGAACGACTTCAGTGTCCACAGAATCATCGGCAGAGGAGGATTTGGTGAAGTATATGGATGTAGGAAAGCTGATACTGGAAAAATGTATGTGTTGATGTTTAATTGTTGTACATTAATAATAATTTTACTCAAACAGGCTTATTCACCAGTTAATAACTGGAAAAATGTATGCGTTGATGCTTAATGTCACATTAAGCATCAACACATACATTTTTCCAGTTATTAATTGGTGAACAAGCCTGTTTGAGTAAAATTATTATTAATGTACAACAATAATTGTTGTACATTAATAATAATTTTACTCAAACAGGCTTGTTCACCAATTAATAGGAATTCTCAAGCTTTCAGATTCTTTTTTTTTTCAAAAGCTGATCATCCATCTGTTGATGTGTTTGTAGAAGAACTTAAAAGCTCGTGTTTCAGACTCTTTCAGGATCTCGTCATCCATTTGGCAGTGTAATAACAAACCTTATAATATGACAAAAAGCCTGTTAACTTTATGTGATTTATTTTAGCGTTGACATTTAGTTTTTGTCAAGTCGAAACTTTTTGTTTCACGACAAGTGAAAGACTTGAATTATATTTAGTGCTAACTGTATGTAATGGAGTATGATCTGAAGTGTTCCACTAATACATAGGATTCCATAGAAACTTGTAAGTAGTAAGAATTAGTGCCATACTTGTACTGTTTAGGCCAGGCTTAAAAATATTTCTGTTTGCAGTAGCCTGGCCGACTGTCTAAAATTGGGGCCAACTGAGAGATTTTTTTGACATTATGACCTGGAAAATTTTTATTTTCACCAGTTACTGCCAAAGTACCAACCCATCTACCAAAATTTGCTGACTTTAGAATATTTTATCGCCATTTTATGGTTAGAATATTTTTTTCTTGGAAATTCATGAAGTTCGTGACAGTGTGGGATGGCATCACCTGATTACCAATTAACAGCTCAGTGCTGATTGGCCATTGCATTGAGGTTTGACATCATGGCTGATCTTGTCCCCAAGACCCTACACACTAAACTAATAAATACACAACCTAGCAAGGGAGAATTTACTATTGATGAGCATAATCATAAATCAACAACATGGAGAACGCAAGTCTGTTCAGTGTATCCGTCTCCAAAAAATATTCTCGTGGATTGAGGATTAGGATGAAAAACAAATTAATTCCAATTGTAAACTTATTCACATGGAGGGAAGTACTTGGTAAATGAAATGGAAGAACAAATCATAAAAGTGTTGGCAACGGTCACTTTAACTTCGTTGGTCAAGGTCGATATCGATCAGCAAGTGTGTGTTATAAAAGAATTTGAAATTTCTGTAATTTTCTTACCCACATTTTAAATCCATTTAGGATTACAGCAAATAAAAATATTTTTAAACCTCGCCTTATTTTATTTGTTACTAATGATCATATTCTTATAAAATTACCGCATTATACTTGAAAATGGGAATAACATTTATTTCTCAGGATATCATGATTTTTTTCAATTTATTAAAATAATGTTTAAGAAATGAAGTTATTAAAGAAAAGATTTATTTATTACTGATAAAAAAGATACACAAACTGTTTGAGATGATTGACCTAACGTAACTGCATAAAATCTTTGTTGAAGAAATCGAGTCAGAGGTTCTAGTGATTAGCCAACACAGTATGAAAATTTAATGAATGATAAGAAAAAAATTTCAGATTTAAAACTTACTCTAAATATTTAAGGTACGCCATGAAATGTCTTGATAAGAAAAGAATTAAGATGAAACAGGGAGAAACACTGGCTCTTAATGAACGAATCATGTTGAGTCTAGTCAGTACTGGGGTAAGTACAAATATTAATATTTTATGTAACTCACCTAACAAATAAATCTTCTTGAGTTTAGTCAGTACTGGGGTAAGTATAAATAACAATATATTTTATGTAACTTGCCTTGTTGAATTTAGTTACCATTATGTTAACTTGTTCTTTGTAGAATTATTTCACTTCTATCCGAGTGCATGATTTTGCTAAACTGTTGTCAGAACTAGTTTTTTGACTTATCTGATAGCCCTCCCCATGGTAGAATTGAACCAAAACTTAGGCTATTCAAGAAATTATATGTTTCAATACTATGAGTCACTTTCCAATGTAGCTATTAATTTTCTTCATTTTATTTTCTATAAGTCATTGATTTATCCCTCATTTTTAACAGTTTTCTGGCTACTGTTTATACCGTGTCTTACAAGCAAAATTAAAGATAACTGTGGTGGTTCTAAACGTTTCAAGTTTTTGTTTTATAGCATTGTGTATTCATAGTTATACTGGTATATATATATAAAATTAGCTATATTAATTACTGGGTTAATGTTTAATTTTGATCAGCGTAGATAGCTTACAGTAATCAGAAGTTATTGATAATTCCAGGAAATCACTTCTGTGACTAAAAACTTCTTAAACCAAATAGTTCCTGCTGTGCTTTCATGCATATGATGCATTTATCATGATTTTAAGGTGTATTAATTTTGTTATTATCGTTATTACCAGGAAGACTGCCCTTTTATAGTTTGTATGACATACGCATTTCAAACTCCAGACAAATTGTGTTTTATTCTGGATCTCATGAATGGTAGGTGCAACCAATATCTAGCTTTCAATTCAGTTTTTAAGACGGAATAAATATGATGGTGAACTATTGTTTGTTACTTGACAAGGAGTAGTGAGCAGGGTTTAGACTGGGCTACATTTAAATATAAAGGCCCATGTAGCTTCTATGAAAGGAATTATAACATTGAAGTGAACATATTAAAGATTCCAGAAACTGTCATTTTTTTCAACTGTGATGATAAAAAATAGAACTGTGATAATACACTTGTTGGCTAGAAATGAACGTATTATAACAGGTGTTTGCCTTGATTTCTACTTAATACCACTTTCATAATTATCATAATAAAAACAGAACTTTATTAAAACACTTGTTGGCTACAAAATTAACCTATTACAAGTTCTATTCATCTAGAAATTATTTAATGTCATTGCATAAACTAATAAGAAAATCTACATAGCTGACAAATGATGCATTTATTCCTTGCAACCTTATTTACTAGCCAGTTTGATTGGAACATTCTTTTTAAATCCTCTGTTAGAGCTTTTAGGTAGACCTATTTGTTTCTTATAATGTTAAATGGGCACGTTGATTTGTATATTAAATCTTCCTTAATACACTTATAGTGTAGAATGAAGTAAGTTCTGTGCATACCCAAGTTAAAGAGCATATTTTTTATTCAGTTGATGCAGAAAGATAAAAATAAATTGAATTATTCACTTCACACCAGAAAATTTTTAGCTTAAGTACATTTGCTTCTTTTTCATTCTGAATTTTGAATTTTTTGCTAAAAATGTGTTAAAAGAACAACAAAAATATATAAAGCACAATTCGTGACTGTCTGTTTGTCCATTATCTAACTATTCCTAGGTCACTGGGCCAATCTCAACCAAACTTTGTGTGATGATAATTTCGAACAAGGGGCATGTTAGTGGGGGTTCACAACCCCCTCCACCTCCCATTATTGCTGTTATTGAGTATTTACTATCTTTCACGTAAATGAATGTTAAATATATTCATAGATGGTGCCACATTCTTCGCCCCCCTAAAAAAACTTGATTAAGTTTTCTATAACACACCATACACATGGTGGGGGGTACATAAAAGGCTTATATATATCAGAGAGTGCACTAACACTCTCTGTGGAAGAATGCAATGAAAAAATAGCTGTCACTATTGCAATAATACATAAACTCGGATTAAGTTTCTACTCTAATGGCCACCATAAGGCTGATATGAAGAGCCATTTCTTGAGTTATATTCACTTCCTACTTTGAACTGTGACCTTACAACTTCGGCCCATAAGACACTCTGTGTGAGCTACAGATGTGACAACCAAGATGACTGCTGTATTAGTATCAGTTACAACCATGGCAACCAAGATGACTGTTGTATTGGTATCAGTTACAGCCATGGCAACCAAGATGACTGCTGTATTGGTGTCAAATACATCTGTGGCAACCAAGATGACTGCTGTATTGGTATCAGGTACAGCCATGGCAACCAAGATAACTGCTGTATTGGTGTGAGTTACAGCCGTTTCAACCAAGATGACTGCTGTATTGGTGTGAGTTACAGCTGTTTCAACCAAGATGACTGCTGTATTGGTGTGAGTTACAGATGTGACAACCAAGATGACTGCTGTATTAGTATCAGTTACAACCATGGCAACCAAGATGACTGCGTATTGGTATAAGTTACAGCCGTGGCAACCAAGATGACTGCCGTATTGGTAGTCAGTTACAGATGTGACAACCAAGATGACTGCTGTATTGGTATCAGTCAAAGATGTGGCAACCAAGATGACTGCTGTATAGGTGTGAGTTACAGATGTGACAACCAAGATGACTGCTGTATTGGTATCAGTTACAGCCATGGCAACCAAGATGACTGCTGTATTGGTGTGAGTTACAGATGTGACAACCAAGATGACTGCTGTATAGGTGTGACTTACAGATGTGACAACCAAGATGACGGCTGTATTGGTATCAGTCAAAGATGTGGCAACCAAGATGACTGCTGTATTAGTATCAGTTACAGCCGTGGCAACCAAGATGACTGCTGTATTGGTATCAGTTACAGCCGTGGCAACCAAGATGACTGCTGTATTGGTATCAGTTACAGATGTGACAACCAAGATGACTGCTGTATTGGTGTGAGTTACAGATGTGACAACCAAGATGACTGCTGTATTGGTGTCAGTTACAGATGTGGCAACCAAGATGACTGCTGTATTGGTATCAGTTACAGATGTGACAACCAAGATGACTGCTGTATTGGTGTCAGTTACAGATGTGAAAACCAAGATGACTGCTGTATAGGTGTGACTTACAGATGTGACAACCAAGATGACTGCTGTATTGGTATCAGTCAAAGATGTGGCACTTTCTATAAAATTTTAGGACAACTGAAAGGAACTATTGACTATCTGTTGTGATTTAAAAGCTCATTGTTTAGATAATTCAAAGGAACAAGTCAATTGTTTATGTGTTTGATTGAACAAGTATCTCACAACTGTATTTTTCTGGAGTTTAAAAAAAGATAGATGTTATTTTATTTGTGAACTGTGATATATGTATATTTACTTATTTGTGAGTTAATTATACAACAGCCTGTCATCACATCAACATAGTTAATAACATTAATGTTCCATGTTTCTTATGGGTCTTTCAAAATAATTGCATTAAAGCATTAAAACAGAATTCCTGAACATTATTTTATGCTCCATTTATTGTTATTTGCCAAGTAAGGGCCTCAAGGTAGTGTGGGAGACTTTAGAACATTATATTTTAATGAGGTTTGTTGCTACGAGAAGCAGTTTGTTACCATATTATTCATCACTGAAGTAACAGATTCTAGTAAGCCACGTCACCTCGTGTGTGTATCTAAGTAGAAGAGTGGCCATGTAGCTATATGTGATGGAGAATCCTTTGATGCAGATGTGTAAATTTGCTGTAGTATAGTAACGATGAAGTATATGTTATTAGCTAAGTACATTTTTTGTATTATTCATTCAAGACTAATTTATATACGATACATGTAAAAACAACCTGTTTTTGTTTTTCGTGACTTGAAGATTGTATCATGTTCAATGTAGTCGTATTTTTACTAAACAGGTGGAGACCTACATTATCATTTATCTCAGCACGGTGTCTTTAACGAACAAGAGATGAAGTTATATGCAGCAGAGGCTGTTCTTGGATTAGAACACATGCACAAAAGACACGTAGTGTACAGGGATCTCAAGGTCAGTTTACTTGAGCTTTGGTTCTTTGAAATTATCATTACATGTTGATATGTGGTCTATGATGTTTATATAGCAATGAGAGTAATTTAGCAGCTAAACTATCACAGAACTGTAAGCCCAAATGTTATAACTTATTCAACAACATAATAAAACCAGTTGGGCTTTCCAGTTTCTAGTGCTTGTTTTTTTTTTTCTGGGCAGATAAGAAGAATGAGGGAAATGCAAATAGAAAGTCTTAATTAAATGATATTTATGTAAATCTTGTGCTCTTTTTAACCATTTGTTTTCAGATTTTTTTTCACCCTAAATTATCTAAGTTTTCTTCTTCAGTTTCAGTTTCACCCAGATATTTTTTTTTATATTAGAAATTGTCTCAAGTTAGATATTTTGATTAATTAATACACTATGGCTCATTTTTTGTCTTTTTTGAAAATAAAGGAAATCATTATTAAATATATTTTTACTGTAACTTATTATGACAAGTAAGTGTTAGTTCCAATCACTGGATTAATTAATACTTAAAGATATTAATATATTTTTACTGTAACTTATTATGACAAGTAAGTGTTAGTTCAAATCACTGGATTAATTAACACTTAAAGATATTAATATATTTTTACTGTAACTTATTATGACAAGCAAGTGTTAGTTCAAATCACTGGATTAATTAACACTTAAAGATATTAATATATTTTTACTGTAACTTATTACGACAAGTAAGTGTTAGTTCAAATCCCTGGATTAATTAACACTTAAAGATATTAATATATTTTTACTGTAACTTATTATGACAAGCAAGTATTAGTTCAAATCACTGGATTAATTAATACTTAAAGATATTGATGTTGGGCTATTCAAGTTAATGGTAGTTCAGCCAATGAGAGCAGAGTTTGGAGCTATCGTATGTGTGTGATGCAAACATTTTAAAATAAATAATTATTTAAAGGCTCCTGTTAGTAAGAGTGTTTTTAACTCATTTTTTTAAGTTAACAAAGATTTATTTGTTTATACATGTTCCTGCTATAAAAATAAATTTTATGGATTCCAGCCAGCCAACATCCTTCTGGATGAACATGGGCATATTAGGATATCTGATTTGGGATTGGCTTGTGACTTTTCCAAAAAGAAACCTCATGCATGCGTGTAAGTAGGCTTGAAAGTATTTCGATATTCCTGATATAATCAGCATGTCATTTGATAAGGAAACTTTATACACAAAAACAAACCTAAATAAAGTGTTGTCAGTTGGTGATTCTGAAGGAGATGCACGTAAAAAGGGGTTGGTGGGCTTGTAGCTTCTTTATTTGAAATTAATAAGGGGGAGATAAAGTAGGAGAGAGACTCTGAAGGAGAAATATTTTTACTGCAGTATGTTATCATGGATTTTTATTTTTTGTTTTAGACAATTTAAAAATTTCTCAGATCTTTCTCTGATTGGCTACAAGGGTAAGAGGAATAACCAGAGATTGGATGATGTTTCATTGGGTGGGGTTTTCATTTCTGTAGTTACCTGAAGACATAGTATTCTATGAGCTGTAGTTTTTAGTAGAAATATTTTGGTAAGTGGAAAATAGGGTGTCCACCAATTCTCACTCCTCCACCCCCCCTGGTGTTTCCTGAACCTTTCAGATATATCTGTAGAAGTTAGTTGTTCCCATATATGTAATCGGCCATTTTTTTATTAAATTTCTAAGTAACAATTTTAATGCTTTATTAATGTTTGTTCTGCAGTATTTAGATATGATACAATGTGAGACCTCCGCCAGCAAATAAACATACTCCATGTTTCATTCAACACATTCAACTATAATTGTAAAAATAATATACAATTTCACCATAAAACTTTAACTGCCTCACCTTCCAATGAAGTAAATTTGACATCTTAGCATCATGGTGGTGATCTGATACCAGATTAGAAGTTCCATGAAATTATATTGACCAATTATATGGAAGTATCCTGATGTTTTTTTATTTTCCCCTCAGTCAAACCTTCAATAGATAAAGAAAGAAAGAAAAATGAAGGATAACTTTTAATAAAAAATACTAGTGAGTACTTAATTGGTCAGTGTGTGGCCACGATAAAACAAAAGACATTTTCATACATCTCTCTCTCTACTGTTTGTATTTATAGCTAAGGAGCTATAAAAGTTAATTATCAAAAGTCAATTTTTGTAAATCCTTGTTCTTCTTTTCTATAACAAAAAAAACTATTGATGTTAAAGGGCCAACTTTTGAAATGGGTTTATTTCTCCCCAATGTCAGCTGGTTCAACAGTAAGTTTGAATGCTTATAACACTAAAAATTTGGGGTTTTATCTTTGTGGTTGGCACAACTCAAAATGCTCTCTGTAGAGGTTTGCACTTAAGCAAACAAGAATTTATTTATACTTTACTGAAGGGTGTTGTAAAGCCTTGGGTATTGTTTAGAGGTGGAGTATTAATATTAGAAAAGCAGTCGGTAAACATAATAGTGTTAAGTAGCTAGATAGAGCATTTCAAGTTTGCAAGTTTTTCTCATCTATTTAGCAGAAAGTCAAGAGCCACCATAAAGTGATTAAAAAAGATGTTAAAATTGACCGTAAAGTTCAAACACTGTTGAAGAGTGGTGTTTCTTCATTGGGAACTTATCCTGAAGAAGACCACTCTTTAAAAGTGCTGAGGCTTTTTAAACTTTTAACATAATCTTTTTTAAATGGAAATGTAATACCTTCTTAATCATGTTTGTCCATATCGCTGGTCATTACTAACCGAAATACTGTAGAACTGCATGCTTGTTATAAGCATTCTGGTAAAATTAAGTTAAGTACAAGGGAGTGAGTTTTAGAACTTGTAAAGAAATGAATAGCTTACATATGATCAGTGGAGTCTAACTATGATTTAGTTAATTATGTTTAATATTTATGTATTATAGAAATAGATTTGTGTTGGCTATGAATAATAATGAATGTTAAAAATTCATTGTTTTTTTAACAGAGGAACACATGGGTACATGGCTCCAGAAGTCTTGTCTAAGTCAACTGCTTATGACTCAAGTGCTGATTGGTTCTCTTTGGGCTGTATGCTTTATAAACTGCTCAAAGGGTGGGTATATTTTTTTCTTTAGACCATTTTTTTTACACAAAGTGGCAAATATAATAAGTTCTAAGTATTTTAACCCCCCCTCCCCCTTAGTGGCTCAGAAGTAAATCTTAAAGCTTATAACACTAAAAACTGGGTATTGATAGCTGTGGTTGGCACAGCACAGATACCCCATTGTGTGGCTTTAAATAGTATTCATAATCTATACAAACACCTTAACAAAGAAATGTATTTTGACTTTTGCCATAATCAACGTTATGCTGTTCATATACAGGATCAGCACAGTCTTCAAGACTAAGAATCATAGCTTTGACCAGCTTCTAAGTAGAAGCTCCAGAGTTGATACATATAGATATATCTACTGTAATGTCTTTTTGTGTATAATAACTTTAGTTTATGAAAGACTAGCATTCTGTGAATGAAATTTGTATGAAACGAGGCTAAAATTTCCGTACAAATGTGAAGTGGTATAAAACTAAAATTTCCGTATCAAATGTCAAGTGATATAAAACTAAAATTTTCGTACAAATGTTAAGTGATATAAAACTAAAATTCCCATACAAATTTTAAGTGATATAAAACTAAAATTTTCGTACAAATGTTAAGTGGTATAAAACTAAAATTTCCATACAAATGTTAGGTGATATAAAACTAAAATTTCCATACAAATGTTAGGTGATATAAAACTAAAATTTCGTACAAATGTTAAGTGATATAAAACTAAAATTTCGTACAAATGTTAAGTGATATAAAACTAAAATTTCGTACAAATGTTAAGTGATATAAAACTAAAATTTCCGTACAAATGTTAAGTGATATAAAACTAAAATTTCCGTACAAATGTTGAGTGATATAAAACTAAAATTTTTGTTAAGTTAAAAAGAAATTATGTTATTTAATCTTGCAATAATCAAATAAAATACTTATGTATAAATTATCCAAAGCTTAACATTCTGACGTTTATGCAAGTGAAGACAAATTAATGTCAGTATTTATATTACCTGGTTATGATTATATTTGTAATATAGTTTATGAATAAAATTTAATGTTTCTGTGTTATTTTTTTGCACTGTTTAGAAATAAGTTCATTAAATATGTAAAAACGTTTGCATAATGTTTTGTGCATTGCGTTACAGTTGGTAAGCTTATTTTCGTATGATCATGTATCAAACACGGCATTACCTCAGTCGTGTGTCGTGTGAATTAAAATGCTTGTATTTTAAAAGCACCAAAGAAAGGTAGGTGATGATTGAACTACTGTATAAAGTCTTATGCTGCTGTATTTTGAATAATCGTGAAAAATTTACTATCTTTCACCAGCCACAGCCCATTTCGACAGCATAAAACCAAAGATAAACATGAAATTGATCGCATGACACTGTCAATGGTAAGTAGATGATTTAATGTTGTAGAAACACATAACTTTAAAGCTGTTTCATTAAGGAATTAAAATTAGCCCAATTAATAATTAAATTTATTACGTAAAGTGTATTTCAAATAAAAACAAGATATAAGAATACAAGGTTTCTAATTTTATTTATATTTGGAACAAAAATAACATTTTAAGACAGTGGTGGTTAATTGTGCTTTATGAGGTCTTGTGCTACTTTTGTAACTACTGCTTCAGTTGTTGGATGTGCTCAAACTGACTGCCATTATAACCAGAGACAGTTGTAACACTTCTCACTATGTCCAGCTTATCTTTCTTTGGTTAACTTGTGTTCGGGGCTACTGATGAGGAATCGAATTCTCCAAAACTAGTATAACACACACTGATCAAAGAGTAGATTGAACTGGACCTCCCTTGAACTTGTACTTCGAGATTAAACAGTTTTTGGAATACTAAGTTTACTTATCAGACATTAATCTCCATTGTAACAAGCTCTTTCTAAGTAAGAATAGTACGGTCGGTTTTAAGTCAAGATTGTTACATACTTTGCTCAGAACCATCATGGTTAGTGGACATTGGTTTCTAAGAGCAAATGTAAAAAAGTTCATTGGAACCACATTAGGAAATTTGACATTTGGTCAAATATGATGGATTGCTGTGATTCTAGTTTCCTTAGTTGTTAATTAGAAGTGTGGTTGGAATCTTGTGAACCTTCATATCTTCAGATTCTTGTTTATTATCTTGTTAATGGCACCAAGAGATATATTCATGTCTTCATTGCAACAGCTACTTGGATCTCTTATCACAGCCTTTGTTTTTGTGGATGAGGGCAGTGCTTCTGATTGACGTGGAGTATGGTTATTTGGGTCAGAGGATTCTCTTTTGTCACCATAACCTTTGTTTTTATGGATGAGGGCAGTGCTTCTGATTGATGTGGAGTATGGTTATTTGGGTCAGAGGATTCTCTTTTGTCACCATAACCTTTGTTTTTATGGATGAGGGCAGTGCTTCTGATTGACTTGGAGTATGGTTATTTGGGTCAGAGGATTCTCTTTTGTCACCATAACCTCTGTTTTTGTGGATGAGGGCAGTGCTTCTGACTGACGTGGAGTATGGTTATTTGGGTCAGAGTATTCTCTTTTGTCACCATAACCTCTGTTTTTGTGGATGAGGGCAGTGCTTCTGATTAACTTGGAGTATGGTTATTTGGGTCAGAGTATTCTCTTTTGTCACCATAACCTCTGTTTTTGTGAATGAGGGCAATGTTTCCAATTGATTGGGGTATGACTATTTGGGTCAGAGGGTTCTCTTTTGTCATCTTAACCTTTGTGCTTCAGCTTGACTTAGGGTATGGTTTTGGAGCCTGTTGCTGTTCTTAATGCTTTTCAGACTGAATATATCTTCTTCCATTAAAACATTGATGGCTATATTTTATCAGTATATAATGTCTTTTGGCTCAACATATTTAACATTTGCACTTTATGAACATACTTCTTTACACAGGGCTATGACATATGTTCCAGTCATTAAAACAACTCTGATGTCATTGTGAACTAAATATACAAGTGCTAAAAACGTTGCCATAGCTTAAACCTTCAGTCACATGCTACTGCACTAGCCTGTGCAAACTGTATAGTTAATTATAGCTTTAATCATCTAAGAAGCTTGATGGACCATATACAACAGTCTTTTACACTAAAGGTATAGCACAGAAGTTACACTTAAGATATAGCACAGAAGTTACACTAAAGGTGTAGCACAGAAGTTTACACTAAAGGTGTAGCACAGAAGTTACACTAAAGGTGTAGCACAGAAGTTACACTAAAGGTGTAGCACAGAAGTTACACTAAAGTATAGCACAGATGTTACACTAAAAGTATAGCACAGATGTTACACTAAAGGTGTAGCACAGAAGTTACACTTAAGATATAGCACAGAAGTTACACTAAAGGTGTAGCACAGAAGTTACACTACAGATGTAGAACAGAAGTTACACTAAAGGTATAGCACAGATGTTACACTAAAGGTATAGCACAGATGTTACACTAAAGGTATAGCACAGATGTTACACTAAAGGTATAGCACAGAAGTTACACAAAAGGTATAGAACAGAAGTTACACAAAAGGTATAGAACAGAAGTTACACTAAAGGTATAGAACAGAAGTTACACTAAAGGTATAGAACAGAAGTTACACTAAAAGTGTAGCACAGAAGTTACCCTAAAGGTATAGAACAGAAGTTACACTAAAGGTATAGAACAGAAGTTACACTAAAGGTATAGAACAGAAGTTACACTAAAAGGTATAGAACAGAAGTTACACTAAAGGTATAGAACAGAAGTTACACTAAAGGTATAGCACAGAATTTACACTAAAGGTATAGAACAGAAGTTACACTAAAAGTGTAGCACAGAAGTTACCCTAAAGGTATAGAACAGAAGTTACACTAAAGGTATAGCACAGAATTTACACTAAAGGTATAGCACAGAAGTTACACTAAAGGTGTAGCACAGAAGTTACACTAAAGGTTTAGTGGAAACAGTACAGGTTTTTGTATTTTGAAGTCAGTTGAGAAATTTATTGACAGTGACTCTATCATAATAATAGGAGTCTTTATGTTATACCAATGAGAGTTATTACCAATATATTCTTTAAGAACATATTAAATATATTCAGTATTTCATATAGAACAGCAGATATTATAGCAAAATACAGATTTATTTGTTTTTCTCTTGAATAAATTATTTTAGATAATTTTTTCTCCTTCAGAGTTTCTTATCAGTTGCTGAGTTTCAGTTTTCTGTGGTTATACACATAAATAGTAATAATTTCTGGTCAGAGTAATCTACGTACATATAGCAAAACTCAAAATCAACCCGGCCATTAGTGCAGCTCATTGAATATACTTGTCTTAACATTAGGTTTCATTAGTTGGGTACCCTCTCTATTAATGTTAATTTTGGATGTAATCCCTGTAATATTTTGTGAGGTTCAGTCAGCTTTGGAGATTTAGGCTATTCCTAAATACATATTTTAAGCTAATAATATGAAACAGTCTTTATAATAAAGGTATAATGATAATAAACAATAAATAAAAATAACGGAAGTGGTATAGTAACTAGTATAACCAATACTGTTAATGTAGTTAAAAACTGAATAAATAATATAGCATATATAAACCGTGTCAAGTTAGTAGCACTAATTTTCTCATAGTATAATCAGAAACCAATGTTTATAAAGACAGAAAATGATAAATATCAAATAATACTTGAACTGACCATGATAATATGATAACGTTAAATGTAATAATAAGAAAACAACATAATAAATATGTATAAAAAGTTTTACCACCAGTCGTTTACTTTATCTATTGCTGTTTAAGAAACACGTAGAGCTGGCTACAGGAAGTAATAAGTAACGTTAAATCTTCTGTAAAAGTTGTAAAGGAAGCAAGATAAACCTCTAGAAAGTAGAAAGATCAATAAAAATAATAACATAGACAGATACAAGAGACATTATTACAACAAAAAACTAATGTAACTAAACTAATGATGTAATGTTTGACTATATATATAAGAATAACTTATACTAACAGCAGGCAAAGTCAATGGTGATCAGTACACTAGAGCTGTTTACCATTACCCTAAACTATATCACATGTAATTAAAATGGACACCTGAAAGTTTTTAAAAAAGTTGTGATACTATATAAAACTAAATCCACAATCTATAGCAAGAATATTGTTGAATTTCCCACAAAATTGAATGACTTTTTGTATAATTGTGCAATGAGAAACCTCAATTATGAAAAATGAGAGAGAGTTTATGAGCTCTATCCACAAAATCCTGTAATGATGAAAAACTTTTTATTTAATAAGTTGAGAGTATAAAAATAAATAAGACAACTAAGAATATAACTTACCACATGTGGCAAAACAAAATTACTGTTAGAAAACAATGCGCAGTGTAGTATAAACTTTAATGCTAACAGAGTCGTGTGATTAATATGTACTTTGAAAAAAATCTATGTTTTGTTTTTTAAGCAGAACATTGAGCTACCAGACTGTTTCTCTTCAGAACTTCAGTCCTTATTAGAAGGTCTGTTACAAAGGGAGGTAGACCAGAGGCTGGGATGTAAAGGTAGAGGGTAAGTACAGGTGTTAATCTATTACAGAGGGAGGTTAACTAGAGGCTGGAGTGTGAAGACAGTAAGTACGGGTGTTAATCTATTACAGAGGGAGGTAAACTAGAGGCTGGAGTGTGAAGACAGTAAGTATAGATGTTAATCTATTACAGAGGGAGGTAAACTAGAGGCTGGAGTGTGAAGACAGTAAGTATAGATGTTAATCTATTACAAAGGGAGGTAAACTAGAGGCTGGAGCATGAAAACAGAGGGTACATACAGATATTAGAAGGTTTGTTACAGAAGATGATAGACTGAAGACTGAGATGTTAAGGCAAATGGTAAGTGCAGGTATTAAATAATCTATACAGAAAGTGTCAGACCAGGGACTGGGTTGGTAAGTGTGAATAATAGAACCATTTGTTATAGAGTGTATGTGATTGTATGGGAATCTGTAAAAATAAGTAGTGGAAACAGAGGGATTTTGTGTTTAGAGGAAGTTTCCTTAACAAATATTACTTCATTTTCTCTTTTTAGAAAAGCTAAGCCTTATCATTCTTAATAGAAAGAATTATTATTTGAATATAAAATTATTGAAGTAATATTTTCTCATTATGATTCTTTGCTAAAATTTTACTCTGGTATCCATTAGTAGAAAACAGGAAGTACGTTTTCAGTATTCATCAGTAATGATTCCATTCCAAAACAGTTACTGTGCTCTCCGTCAGTGGAGAATAACAACTGTGTTTGCAGTATTAATCAATTGAAAAGAAATTATTTGAAATTTGATTCAGAAAGAAAGTTTTTTTTTTCTGAATTAGAAGTTTATTTAATTACTAGCTGGAGTACCCGTCCCCTGGACGTTAGTTATGTAAATTCATGATCAATGAAAGGTTATCTTAGGACATGAAAAGTTGCTTCCCTTATATGTAATTGTAGAAAATGCAAAAGTGCCCATAAACTGCAAAACACAAAATGCGAAACTGACAATTTGTATGTATTTCACCATGGACCCAACGAACCTCCATACCAATTTTGGTGAAGATCCATCTACACCCTACAAAGTAGTTACATGGACAGACAACAGATAGTACTACTATATTTATATAGATAACAGACAACAGACAGTACTATTATATTTCAGGCCAGGTGGTTAGGGAGCTCGACTCGTAATCTGCAGGTCGCAGGTTCGATTCCCC